CGTTTAAAAAACTGGGACGGGCCACTTCATGTGAAATAGATGTCAAGGGGCTGCCTGCGGTCAGGGCGCCTTGGGGTCGCCGGCCGGGCAGCTCCAGGGAGAGCTGTACACAACGTTGTCTTCCTGTCGGATTCGGCAGAGACGGTCAGAGGACTCGGGGCTGGGGAATTTCATGTTAAATGGCTGCCATGAGTCACGCCTTTCCCAGTCACTCCAACTGGTCCCGTGGCGTTCCAGGCTGGAGGCCACTGAGGAGAAGTCAGAAGCGCTCGGATGATGCTCTCCTGGGGTCAGATTCTGTGAGGGGCGCTGGAACCCGCACGACCAAAAGCGTGACCTGCCCACTAGCATCGATACTGTGGACATCATCCCGTTCCTCCCCAATATTTTTCATTCCCTTTCCATAAATAAAAAAAACAACAAAATGCCACCAGCGCGTCAAGTCCCCTAGAGCCTCCCATTATGAAGACATTTGCCACTCTGCGGATGTAAAGACAGAGATGTGTTTTTCATAGTGCCTTCTTGTCTAAAGCTGATTTGTATTTATCTACTTACTGTTTATTCAGATATAGTAAATGTTATTTTTTAAATGGCAGAGCTAAAGAGAAATGTATCAGTTCATCCATTTTTAAGCATTCTTACGTGGTTTGTGAAGTTTTCACAGCTGACAGGTTGTGTACTGAGGCCTTACCTTATTTCTGTAAGGTCTTGCCCTTTTTCTGGTTCTGCGTTAAGGCCTTACCCTTTTTCAGGGTTTGATTTTTCTGCCACCACTGCACAAACCCCTGTGTTCAGTGGTTAAATCACGTGTGTGTGTGGTGAGCAAGCCACCCAGAACATTAGTGAAGTGTTGATTTCAGCTTGCAGGAAGAGGAGAGATGGTGTGGTAATTCCAAGCTGACAGACTAGATCTCACTCCTATATTTATCACTCTTCTCCCATGATGATGAATGCAGGACAAATCATCTAAAAAACCTGCTAGAATCTCACTGATGATCACCTAATTGCCTGTTCTTTATTTTATTGATACCCACCTGGCAGTGGATTTGCAGAAGCTGTCAGCACTTTATATTCACTTTAATGGGAGCTGTATATGAATATATGAAAAATCTATTATAAACTCATATAAACTTCCTAAGATTTGAAAATAATAAATAAAGTGTAACTACCATGAATAAATCAGAATTTCTGTATCACAGATTGACTTGACAAAAACTGTGGGCACTTAGTAGTTTGAACTGAGTCCCTATAAGCTTTCCTTTCCATAGGTAAAATATACTACTAATTTTACTCCCCTGAATACAGGAAAAATAATTTCTGTGATACTTTCAACACTGGCATAGTTTGGAATAGTAGTAGAAATTTTATTAGTAGACAAGTAAGTCTATATATATATATATTTGGGCAAGCTTTACATGACGTGAAGAAAAAGACCTGATGCCTCACACTTAAAGAAGGATAAAAGAAAGTATTGGGTAACCAACTATTCAATTCTTTCAACAAAGTGCTAATTGCATGGAAAAAATACACCATTAAGTTTCTTGTGGGGAAAAAAAAGCACATTGTAATGTCTCTGGGTTTTTTCACCATAGGTTTTAGGGTCATCATGGCCTTCATTGTGGTGTTTTACTATCCCCTTGCAGTGCTTTGATTGAACTAAAGATTGAAATATAATGCACGCATAGGATGTGATGAATTACTTTTCTCTGACATTTCCTGGCTTAGGACTCACTCATTTTACAACCTTAATGTCTTTGAATTCCTTAATAGGTACTTTTATACTAGAAATAATATAAGTACCCGCCTATGCATTTTATATTTGAGGTAATCACCAACCTGTTATGTCAGTTTTATTGGCAGAAGATCAGTCTTTCAGCGAATCTATCCAGGGGATACTTTTGGCTGTTTTGAATTCATGCTACACCTCAAGAGAGTGACAGGAGCACTCAATTGCAAAGAATTTCTTCTACCACCCCTTTGAGAAAATGAGAGTGACATTCAGCACTTGTGCATTAAGACTGTCCTAAACCAACAGTAACTGGTAGATTTGATAATATATAACCAAAAATTTCAAACTCTATGACCTTAGGAATCACAAAGTCAACAAAAACTAGCTAGTGCTTGGGTGCATTTATGTAGACTGCGAAGCAAGGTAGTGCATCAAACTTTAGACAAGCAGAAGAAAGAAAACAAGGAAGAGCTATGGTGTTAAAACCTTGATGTAAGGTCCCTACACATCCCTATAGGAAGCAGCAGCTGTTAATTTGTCTTGTGTGACCAAAATTACCTATTTTTTCTTAACATTCCTCTGTAGTCCTTTACTCCTGTGGGCAATTTGTCTGTATTTCGCTTAAGTTATGGGTAGTTCACTTAAGTTTGTGTTTGCTGGGTTTAACAAAGGTTCCTTTACTGTAGCAATGCTTGGTAGTTTCAGTAACCTGTTGTAATGCTTTTGTGAAGTTGCATATTATTTCTGTTAAACCCTTTTTGCCAAAACCCCTATATTCTCACCAAATTAAGAGAAGTCTCGTAGAGAAAAGTGTGTAGTTTTTCTCCAAATGTGAAGTCAAGGTACCAAAGAATCAAAAGCCTGAAATAAAAGTGTAACACCTGGTAAAGCATGAAGCTTCTAAACCAGGTTGTAACAGCCACAAGGAAGCAGGGATCTTGGACAGTACCAGTGGAGAGATGAAAATGTTCTGGTCGCACAGTCAGTACACAGCCAGACTTCTGAGTCTTTGCTCTTAGGTTCTCACTCTTGCTCTGCCACTGGGAAATGGCACGTTGCTGTCAGCAGGAAATTTCCTACAGCTTGAAGACAGTCACCCTCTTTTAATCTTATGACTAAGTAAACAGTAAACATTGTGCCATTATAAGAGAATATGTTAATATGATGCAGAAACACACACATTTCAAGAAGAAAACTTCTTTGGTGCCTGTGTAGTGCTAGAAGTTTGTCCTCTGTTCTGTCCATCTTCAGCACTTCTATTGGGTATATCTGTGCAGAAATCTTTGACAGGAGATTTAACCTCAACTATTCTTTGATTAGTTTGACTTGTAGAAGATAATTTTTGGGACTGAGTTGTGTGTGCCATTGTTTACTCTGTGGTTTATTGCCATATGTAATTGTTTTATTCATGCTGTTTATTCATATTTGGAGAGGGCTGTGTCCTCTCCAGCTCATTACTTAGTTCAGCCTCAAGCTGTATTTTATCCTTTTAATCTTTTTATCACTTTTTTTATAGGTCAGAACATCTGCACTAAGTGATCATTTTTAGTATTCTGCTCTGAACTCTTTCCAGTCAGTCAATATCTATGACTATGTAGGCATCTGGAATAATAAATAATTTTCTGAAAACAACCTCTGAAGAACCATATAAAAAGCAATTTGCACATCTATTCTCTGTAAATGTTGATCTTCAGATACAGCCAAAACATCACATTGACTATTGAAATGACAAACTCATCTCTCTTCAGTATATTTCTTCAGGATTGCATGCCGCTTTCACCCTTCGTACAACAGAGTATGAAAGCGTGAAATAACTGCTGTTTTCCAGAAACTCCGCTTGTGTCAAGTCAGTGAATACAATTAGGGATTCAGAGACTGTACAAAAACACTGAGAAGTGTGGAGAGGGTAGTAGCTGTAGGCATACAGAAGAGCTGGCTACCTGTGTAAAAGGGAAGCGTGAGCATCCCAGGAAAACACCGCAGTAAACAAGTCAGCACAGGCCAGGTGCTGCAGCAGTCACTGTGTACCATCACCTCTGTGAGGAGCCTTGCCTTCCCTGCTCTCCAAGAGGTAGGAGAGAAAGCAGTATTTTACTCCTCCTTGCTCACAACCCCATCTAAAGTCATAAATTACTTTCCTCACATAAGGCAGCCCCTGCATGAGTGTCTGTTAAACAGACAAATGTTTCCAAACCTTATCATAATTAAACACACCCAACCACTCCATAACTCTGCTTATATAAAGCGTAGAAAAAAACAAAACAAAAAACCAGACACAGTTGGCCATCAGGAAGGCATCAAAAATCTTGTCTGTCAAGCCAAATACTTTGCTGAGTTCCCAAACACAGTACTAGGTTGAGTAACATTGTTTAGCTCCCTCTTTCTGAAAATAGTGTGCAGGCCTGCTGGAAGCACATTTGAGCAGGCT